AACCCTATACAGGGTTGCTATGGGTCAGAATTGACTTGATGGCACTTAAGAACAACATATATCCATGTTAAAAAAACAAAGCCATATATATGGTTTTCTTTTGTTGTAGTTTTGTTTTTCCCTCGAAAGTTTTATGAAAACTTTAAACTTCCTACATGAAGAATTGTTTTCTAGACATGAGGAACGACATGTTTAAGACGTGATTAAACTTTGGAGTTCCTCTCTTGCTACCTGACCTTTCATTCCTACCAACAAGGTTTCTAAATACCCAAGAAGGGAAAAGCTTTGTTGTAGCGCTAGCAACAGAGCAGGGGTCCTGGGGCGCAACAAGACGCTGAAACAACAGACAGAAGATCCTGTCCAGCTCCACGTTCACAGAAGGAGGAAACCCAGGCCTTCCCAGCAGGCTCATGTCCCTGGGGGCAGGACGTCTGTCCTGCCAGGTGGTTGAGTAGGTTCTGGTCTCTCAGGAACTCTGAGGGAAGGAGTCCTAGTGGCACAGACTAAGCACTGGACTGCCCACTGCAAGATCAGAAGTTCAAACCCAGCAGCCTCTGTGCAGGTACCAGGAGGCTGTCTGCTGTCATAAAGATTTAGAGTCTCGGAAAGTTCTATTTTACTCTGCCCTATTGTTTTTGTTGTTGTCATGTGCCGTGGAGTCGGTTCCGACCCATAGTGACCCTGCACAGGGTTTCCGAGGTTGTAAATCTTTACAGGAGCAGAACGCCTCATCTTTCTCCCACGGAACAGCTGGACGTTTTGAACTGCTGACCTTAAGATTAGCAGCCTGATTCGTAACTACTACGCTACCAGAGCTCCTGATAAATAGCATCCTGGAGAAGTGTGAAATATTGTGAGAACAGTATCTCACATGTCAGCATAACACCAGTAGACTTGCTCCACGAGGGTTGTGCAAACCCTCAGTGTGTAAAAGCCACAATATCTGGAAAGCACAATGAAGTATGGCATGCCTGTATATTTGTTGTTGTAATCACCTTTGAACTGGTTCTGACTCATAGTGACTTGGTATAGGGTTTTCAGGCAGCAGCGGGTGCATTTGAACCGCCAACCTTTTGGTTACCCAGTGCTAGAGAGACCCAGATGGGGAAACAAAATAAAATAGACCCTGGAGCTATTTTGGATAAACAGTACAGTGCTTATCCTACAGTGCCACACCAGGACTCTATGGTACATTTATTGAAAGTGCAAGGTCAGCTGAAAAGAGGAACCCCAACAAGATGGCTTGTCACAGTGGCAGAAGCAATGGGCTCAAGCAATCAACTGTGAGGACAGTTCAGGACCGGACAGTGTTTTGTTCTGTTGTGCATAAGGTCACTATGAATTGGGACCAATTATATGGCACCTAACAACATATATGTATATAGTCCTGGTGTGGCACAGTAGGATAAGCAACCTTGTATAAGGACTCTAAGGAGCAGCTGGTGGGTTTGAACCATCAACTTTCTGGTTCCCAATCCAGGGTTTATCCTACAGCACCAGCTCTGATGTGGCTCTGTAGGATAAATACTAGATGGCAAGGCTGGCAGTTCAAGCTCACCAGCTGCTCCTTGGAAACCCTATACAGGATCGCTGAGTCAGGACCGACTCAATGGCACTTAACAACATATATGTGTGTATGTTGTTGTTGTTGTTAAGTGCTGTTGAGTTGGTTCTGACCCATAGCAACCCTGCATAGGGTTTCCGAGGAGCAGCTAGTGAGCTTGAACCGCTAACCTTGCGGTTCAAACAGCTTTGTAGTCTGACGCACTGACCCACAACGCCACACACACACACACACACACACACACACACACACACACACACACACA